CTGAGCTCTGAGGCAGAAGACATGAGGAAGAACCAGCAGAGGAGTCTGAAAAGAGCAGTGTGGATGGAAGACAGAAAGTGTGATGCGGGGAGCTCAGTGAAAAGATTGTATTAAAGAGGAGGGTGTCACCAATGTATGTAATGCTGCTAATGGGTCTGGTAAGATGTGACCATTGCATTTTTCAGTGCAGAAATTATTGGCGACTTCAAGTAGAGCAGTTTCTATGAGAAGGTGGGGTGAACACCTTCAATGGAGGGAGCCCAAGGGAATATGAAGAGACGCTTTTGGGTTTGGTGATTATATACAAGTCATTCAATGAGCTTTACGGTAAAGCACAAGAGTGAAACAGGACATAACTGGAGGGAGGTGTGAAATCAAGAGAGTTTTTAAAATGATGTGTCAGGCTGATGCGAATGATGCTAAAGTGAGGCGAACATTGATAGTTCAGAAAAGAGAGGCAGGAAATGCCAAGAAATGCCCTTATGTGGGAAGCAGTATAGGACCAGAGGGACTAGTCTCAAATAGGAGGGCTGTCTGCTCCTCTACAGAAATAGGAATGAAAGAAGGCAGGATATGGGGATGTAGATGTCTGTGAATCAGAAGATGCAGGAGAGGAACTAGTGGAAGCTCTTCCAAGAAACAAGAAATGTACTTTGTTGAAAGGTAGGCTGAGAATTAGATGTTAAAACTTGAAAAGAGAAAAGAAAAGAGAAACGGTGGAGACTGAATGAACCAAGTAAGTGAAGTATGATTGTGGGGCAGGATGAAGGGCTCTCATGAGGTAGTGTGCATAAATTTATGGTGAGATGAATCAGAATAATTATATGTTTTTTTCCAGCCACTTTAGGGAAATGGAGGCAGTATGTGGAGGGTGGAGTTTTTACTAGGGTTTAAGGTTTGCAAGATGAATGTGATGAAATAAGGGTGGGGTCAAGGAGTTCTTGGTTTGGGTAAGGGCATTATTATCTTGGAATTTAAAATAGACATGAGTCGAAAATCACCTCGACGTCAACTGACAACAAGTCGGGGACGGGAACGTGAGGGTCCAGGGAGACAAAACAGGTTTGTTAGAGACGTCTTTTCAGAAAACGGCAAAATTGGGACCCATACAACTACAAAAAAGAGCAGACATTGCGTTTTAAATTTTTCCTGTGATAAAAGAAACTTATTTTATCTTCCTTAGTTTTATACTGGGAATCTTTTTTGTTAAAATGTTTTTGGGAAAATATAACTTGCATTGCTTTTATACAAGGACAAGGAGGGATCTAGTGTTTTCTTACTCCCAAGATGTTTTCTCTGACATGAACTTGAGTGGGGAAGCAGGGAATAGGAATGCTCAGGGGTTCCTGGCTCTAGCCTTTGGCCTAGAGAGGAGGCTCTGTTCCAGGGCAGCAGTAAAGGCATTTGGGAGTCATGCTTGAGGTCAAATTAGAGAGGGTCAGATGGGACTGCATATGACCACAGAGTGAAGCCCCGAGTGACGGCTGAGAGCAGATTTAAAGGAAGTGAGCAGGAAGAGAAGGAGACCTGCTCTCTTCCGGACCCAGAGGAGGCCCAGCTGCCGATATTTTGACTGTTTCATACCAACTTTTTGGTGTGATCAAAACAAACAAATAAACCACAGCAGTCTCTGTGACAGTGCCTAGTAAGTGGGACCCTTCCACCACCTCTGCCTTGGTAAGAGATTTATATTTGGGGTCAAGAGAATATCTTGATTTTGGAACCCAGTAATTCGTCGTATTATCTTTGATCTGATGGTGCTGATGGTGAGAGTGAAGTTGGCCTCAGATCCACTGCCCCTGAAGTGGGCGGGCACCCCATCAATGCCAGTAGGAATGTTGTATGTGAGGATCTTATGTGTCTACCCAGGTTAAGTGGTGTCTCCTTCAGTGTAGAAGAGACTCTGACCGTCCCTTCAGCAGATGGAGACTCTATTCCAGAGAGGCAGCCAGCGGTCCCGGAGCCTGTGTTATCGCCATCCGCTGGCAGAGATCTGCAATGACAGGCACATGGGGATGATGTAGAGATGTGCAGTTAGGGATAGAAGAAACAACCAAGCCAAAACTAATCTAACTGTGATAGGTGTACAGACCTCTGCTGCTTGTATCATTTATTTCATATCTCATTTTAAAATTGTAATCTGAATTAAAGGATTACTCTGGAGAGAAAACTCTGTCTTTAGGTTTGTAAATATCCTGTCACATGGAACAGAGTAGAGCTGGAGCCTGAGGATCTGGACGGTGTCACCATCCTGCAGCTTCTCTCTTGTGTGATGTTTATCAGGTTCTACCCTCCAGAAAAGGCTCCATTTACGAGTCTCAGATCAGCAGGGCTGAGCTCAGGGTCAGGTCGTGGCAAGGGGACATTTATGCAAAGAGCCAGGGAGTATGATAGTGAAATTCTTAGAGCACAGGATTGTGGTAAAAACTCTTTTAGGGTGCTCTTTTTTAACTTACTTTTTGAATATGACAGTAATGGACACTTATTATCTTGGATTCTCTACCCAAAACTAAGATTTAACTAGTGATATAGAACAAATGTTTTGTGTTTGACTACTAACTGAAAATTTAGCAGTTCAAATCCACCCATGGGGCCTTGGAAGAAAGGCCTGGTGATCTACTTCTGTAAGATTGAAAATCATTTGCTGTTGAGTTGATTCTGACTTATGGTGATCCCGTGTGTGTCAGAGCAAAACTGTGATCCACAGGGTTTTCAATGGCTGATTTTTCAGAAGTAGACTGCCAGCTTTTTTTTTTTTTTTTTTGAGGCCATTTTTGGTGGACTAGGAGCTGAGTGTGTTAACCATTAAATACAATGCTTAACTAATTCATTTTGTAGTTGTTGTTTCATGTATGAGGGTATATCATGTCCCCATTATTCCATCTAGTCTATAAGTGGAAGTCTCTTTTCTGCTGAATTTTACAGTTTTGGAAATGCTATCTCTGATTTCTAGAAATTCTGCTGGTTCTTTTTCAGATCTGAAGTGTCCCATTTTTAGTTTCCTGTACCTTGCATACAATGTCAAGTTTATCATTTATTTCATTAAATAAACTCGTATAATGCCCAAATCTGAAGTGTGATGGGAACTTCTTTTGTTCTGTTATTTCTATTGCATCACAGTTGTATTCATATCCTGTTGCTGTTGTTGTTGTTAGGTGCCGTCAAGTCAATTCTGACTCATAGAAAACCTATGTACAACAGGAGGAAACACTCCTTGGTCCTGAGCCGCCATCAGAATACTTGCCATGCTTGAGCCCATTGTTGCAGCCACTGTGTCAATCCATCTCATTAAGCATCTTCTTCTTTTTCGCTGATCCTCTATGTTACCAAACATGCTGTTCTTCTTCATGGACTGGTCCCTCCGGATAACACGTCCAAAGTAAAGAGACAAAGTCTCACCATCCTCCCTTCTAAGCAGCATTCTGGTTGTACTTTTTCCAAGACACATTTGTTCATTCTTCTGGCAGTCCATGATATACTCGACATCAAAATTCAAAGCCATCAATTTTTCTTGGGTTTTCATTATTCATTGTCCAGCTTTCCCATTTATATGAGATGATTGAAAATACTATGGTTTGTGTCAGGCACATTGTACTCCTCAAAGTGATACCTTGACCTTTTTTTTTTTTTTTTAACACTTTAAAGAGGTCTTTTGCAGCAAATTTGCCCAATGTAATGTGTTATTTGATTTCTTGACTACTGCTTCCATGGGTGTTGATTGTGGGTCTAAGTAAAATGAAATCCTTGACCAGTTCAATATTTTCCCCGTTTATCATGATGTTGCTCTTTGGAGCAGTTTTGAAGATTTTTGTTTTCTTTATGTTGAAGTGTAATCCATATTGAAGGCTATAGTTTTAGTTTTTCATAGGTAAGTGCTTCAGATCTTCTGTGCTTTCAGAATGCAATGTTGTCCTAGTTATATTATTTTCTCGTGTGTCAAGAATCTCTGACTTCTTGGTGGTATTGGCCCTAGAAAAACTATTTGTGAGTTTTCCTGAAGAATTATGATGCGTGTGCCCTCTTCCAGAGGGGCTCCCATTTGTTGGCGCTACCAGTTGGGCTAACTTAAACCAACTTCAAGATTGAAGTTTCAGGCACACTGAGGCCATGTATACCTGGAATAAAACTCCTTGAAGAGTTGGTGCTCAATCACAACTTTGCAAGAAAATCCTGTTTGTTTTTTCCTGTCCATTCCCACAATGAACCTAGAGCCTTCTTATCAGTTCCTAGCTGTTGTGGACATGATAGGTTCCAGTTTCTCTTTGGTTCACACTTCCTTTGAGACTAGAGCCATCCCGAGTCCTAGCTCAATATAGGGTCCCTAAGAACTTTCCACATGGGTAAATTCTGGGCCTGTCATCCATTTCGCTGGCCCTTGCAAAGCCCTGGAATTCAATCTCATGTGTTTGCCATGTCTTTGAAGTATCCTTCAGGATTAAAAAAAGTCTTTAGAGCTCAGATACCTTTTAGCTATAAATTTTTATAAAAATCGAGGCAAAAATTTGCCGTACTCTTCCCTTTCCTTTGTTATGTTTTTCCAGTAGTTTTTATTATTTCACAAAACTGTTGATTTGAGGAAACTAGTCCGTCATTTATGGAACCTGAACCCATTTAAAACTGTTTTTGAGTTAAAACCAGAGCTATTCATTATTTCATGGGGACTTCAAGCAGTTGTGATTAGCTGCTAACCTAAAAGTTGGCAATTTGAACACACTCAGTGGTACCCTGGAATAAAAGCCTGGTGATGTGCTCTATAAAGAATACAGACAAGAAAACCTTATGGGGAAGATCTGCTCTGTAAAACATGGATTCTCTATGAGTCACAGTCGGAATCAGCTGGATTACAAACAGTTTTTTTTTTTGTTTGTTTTCTTTTGTTTCTTTAAGTTGATGTTAGAGCTTCTAAGTCATTTCTGTGGGTTTTCTAGTCATAAAATTATACTTTATATGATAATATTTTTAGATCCTGAAGTATGTTAGTTTCACAACCCACTGCCCGTACAATTTACTTTCAATTCACTGATTGCTTTGCATAAGTCCCTCCAGCCCAGGCTGGCTGCCAGATTTTATAAACAGGACCTTTGCAATGTGAGCTGATCAGCATCAGGCAGGCAGGGGCAGCAAGATGGTGCCACAGACTCTGTTCCTCATGTCCTTGTTACTCTGGGCCTCTGGTGAGAAATTAAAAGTGCTTCAATCCCTCTAGAGTAGTATCTTTGTAGAGCTGAAAAATGATTTTAAAATATAGTGGGAAATGATGATTATTTGCAAAATGGAACCAATTTTGTGCAGATATGTAATACCACTAGATGCTGTGGTATAAATGGTACATTTCAACGTACCTATGAAAAAGTGTGTGTTCATATGTATCCATGGTAATTGTTCACTGTGATTGCAGGTGCGAGCGGGGACATTGTGCTGACCCAGTCTCCAGCCTCTCTGGCTGCGTCCCCAGGAGAAACGGCCACCATCAACTGCAAGTCCAGTCAGAGTGTGAGAAAATACTTAGCCTGGTACCAGCAGAAACCAGGACAGGCTCCTAAGCTGCTCATCTACAGTGCATCTAACCGGGCATCTGGGGTCCCTGACCGGTTCAGTGGCAGTGGGTCTGGGACAGACTTCACTCTCACCATCAGCAACCTCCAGGCTGAAGATGTTGCAGTTTATTATTGTCAGCAGTATTATAGCTCTACTCCCACAGTGCTTCAGCCTCGAACACAAACCTCCTCCCCAGGGCTACAGGCCAGTGAGTCTTCACTGCACCAGCTGCTTCCTTTCTGCTCAGCCCTGAACGTGCACCCTTCCTCAGACTATCCCAAAGGCCACATCTCCTGACTAATTCCTTGGAGTATTTGCACGACCCAGGAGAAAATTCAGGGATATGGCTTCTTCTGGATCAGCTTTTGTGGTAAATTATAGAAGAAAAATGCGCTAAAAATCTCTTCTAGACTTTGTTAGGAGTTTTCATATTGCAGGAACCTGTATGTTTCACATGGATAGATCGTGTGGCAAATTTGGCGAAGAGTCCAGTGAGTTTTATACCCTGAAAGATCATTTCTGTCTTCCCTGTGCCTTCTTGGCTCTGAAATGTTCCCATTTTAATTCCTTGTTTTCCCAGCCTTTTTCCTTTCCTGCAGTTACTCTTTACAACTCTGGACTTAACCCAATATTAAACCTGGGTCCTTCATATTTAAAATCTCCATCACAGAAGGTAGTACTCTTCTCTTACTTCTTCTTTCCGTGGATCCTGTTTTCCAGCCAAGCCTTCCTCGTCAATGTCACTGAAAGAGTTTTCCTGCTCTACGTCCCATTTTACCACCTTTTCTCCTCTCTCCATTTCTTTCAGTGGCACCAATTTTTTTTTCAAAGGTCAGTCTCTAATTCATCAACTATCACTCTAGAAATAGGTGACAGCTTTCTCATGTTCTTTTTTCATTAGTTGTCAATTTCTCTTTAAATTTATCCCTTGGACACTCAAGTTTAATTTAGTGACTGAAGGGAATCATGGTTCCTTCTTGTTGTTAGCTGCCATCTTGGAGGCCCCTGACTCATGACAACCCCATGCACAATGGTCTTTGACTGTTGTGATCCTTAGGGTTTTCATTGCTGATTTTTCAGAAGTAGATTACCAGGGATTTCTTTCTAGTCTTTATTAGTCTGAAAGTGCTGTTGAAACCTGTTCAGCATCACAACAACACACAGAGAGGAAGTGTGGTAAATGAGGCCTGTGTGTACCTTCTCAGGTTTCTGCTGTTGCCTGCCCAGGTAGAGTTTCCAGTCAGTGTAGACGAGACTCTGACTGGCCCTGCAACTAATGAAGACTTTCTCTCCTAGAGAGACAGAAAGAGATTCTGGCACCTACTGAGCAGGATCTGCCCGCTGGAAGCTAAATTGTCAGGTACACGAGGGTGATCCAGAGATGCTGTGCAATCAGGAATAGAAGGAAAATCAAACCAAAATCATCTTTAACTGGGACAAGTGGACAGGCCTGAGTGGCTTGTAGCATTTATTTCGTATCTCATTTCAAACTATAGAGCTATCTCAATAGGAGGATCACTCGGGAGAGCAAACTCCATCCCTAGCTTCCATCTCATCTGAACACAGCAGAGTAGGAGCCTGAAGATCTGGATGGTGCCCCCATCCTGAAGTTTCTCTTTTGTATGATGTTGCTCAGACTCCATCCCCCAGGAAAGACTCCTTCATGGCTTTATTTTTTCAATTTTTTATTTTGTTGTTGTTGAGAATATTCACAGCAAAACATGCACTGATTCAACAGTTTCTATCCTTCACAGCTTTTTATGGGGCTCAGATTAGCAGGGCTGATCTCAGGGTGGGGTGTCTGTGAGGTGACATTTATGCAAAGAACCACGGAGTATAATGGTGAAATTCTTAGAGCACAGGGTCGTGGTTAAAAATCTTGTAAGCTGCACTTTGCTTACTTTTTGAACATGGCAGTACTATTTGAATATGGCAAACACTATTTTTGTGGCTTCTCTGATGGAAATAGTTATATTTTAGTTTTCTTGTTGTAGTTGCTGAAGATCCCCCAGTGGTGCAAGTAGTTTGCACTCAGCTACTAATGTAAAGTTGGCAGTTGGAACCCACCAGTGATGCAGCAGAACAAAAGCCTAGTGATCTGCTTCCATGAAGATTACAGCCAAGAAGACCCTATGGAGCTCTGTTCTGCTCTGTTACACATTTGGTTGCCAGGAGTCGGAATCAACTCAATGACAACTGGTTTGGTTTTGGTTGGTTACAGTTTCTAGGAATGGAAATATATTCTTGAAGAGCACTTATTGAAATTATTCATGTGGAAATGCTCAGTTCACAGAGTCAAAAACGTTTGCAAACAGAATTGTAATAGCAGACCCCTCCAGTATCTAATGTCCCATAACTGGTAGGACTATCCACTGTCTATCTGTGGTGGTGGTGGGATCATATACAATCTCTTTCTCTGGTTTGTCATGGACAGTGTTTATGCCAGCTGGTTTCCTATACATTTTCTACACCGTTTTCCCTAGGCTTTCCATTAAATACGCTAGTCACCTGATAATCATTTCATTTTCTGCTTAGGTTAGACTTGGTTGATTTCTGCTGTTTGCAATCAAAAGCTCTTACTGACTAAAATGTGTTTCCATATTTGACAGTGTTAGATCTTCATCATAGTTTCTTCCTCTGGAATATTTATGGTTATACCGAACATTTCACATTTCTAATTTTAGGAGTTGCAAAAAACAGTCTCATTAGTATATTGCTTACGGTTATATTTGTAAGTGAACTTGATAGAATTGATGGTTTTCATTTATTTATCTTTTCACTATACATTTATTAAACAAATATTGAGAATCTCCTACATGAGGTGCACTTCTGAGTATTAGTGTTATATCAATGGTGGTAACCCATTTAACGTGCCAGCCTGGCCCTCAGGAGTATAAGTGGAAGTGAAGTGATGCAGACATTGATTAAAGAATGCCACAAGAGAATGCTAAATTTGAGGTGGAAGATGTATGTATGAGGCCAGTCAGGAAGGGCCCTCTAAGTGTCTTTTGTGTTTATCCTGTACATAATGGAAAGATTTGAAAGGTTTTTGCAGACAGATAACATGATCAAATTTGTTTTTTAAAAAGATCACTCTGGTTTCAGTGGAGTACACTTTGGAGAGAGCAAGACTAGATGCAAGACAAGTTAGGAAGCCATTTAAGGAATCCAGCTTGTGCCTTCGTCTAAGGCCATGATAAGGGAAGATGGATTTGGGAATATGTAGATTTTAAAACGGACCAAAAAAACCCTGCAAATCTGTTGCCTTTGAGTAGATTCCAACTTATAGCGACCTTATAGGACAGAGTAGAACTGCCCTATACGGTTTCCAATGAGCGACTGGTGGATTCAAACTGCCAGCCTTTTGGTTAGTAGCTGAGCTCTTAACTACCGCACCACCAGAGCTCCACTTGGTAATGGACTGACTGTGAGGGTTGAGGTACAGGGTAGTGCCAAGAATGACTCCAGTGTTTCCAGATTACACAACTGGATATGTGGTGGCTCCTTCTCTAATGTGGGGTTTGCTGGGATTGGAGTATGGGTGAGGGAGGGGTGAAGATTATTATGAGTTATTTTTAAGTGACAATGGGTTTGAAGTGCCTTTGAGACACACAAGAAGAAATTTAAGAGTTTGTAATTTAGAAGAAAGGCCTAAACTGGAGATGTAAATTGTTACATGGTATACCCCTTCTTGCCCAATAACATGAACTTTGATAGAATTAAAGCTTTCTTCTATTAATTAAAAAAAAAAAAATCATCCATTTATTCAGCAAATATTAGTTGACCAAATACTCAGTGCCTGGTACTGTGCCAGGTACTTTGTGGATATCATTTTTTATATATATTGATTAAACTGTGACATTATATGTATTAAAAATATATCTATTTAAAATTTTATTATAAAATATAACAAAGAAGTGTGCATGCTTGATGAGGAATTTTATGTAAATGGAATCATCTATTTTATACATTCTTTTGTGTCTAGCATTTCCACTCAACATTATGAGAGCATCTATTTTGTTGTATGCATCTATAACTTATTGATTTTCATTGTTGCATAGGATTCCACCGTGTGAAAATTACACAATATGTCGTATCTTCTGTTACTGAAGATTTGCATTGATTCTTATTTTTGGCAATTAGAAGCAAAGCTACTTTGAAAACTTCTCATTCTTGTACCCTGGTGCACCTAAGTACATATATCTCCAGGGCATATACCTCAAAATGGGATTTCCTTCTCATAGGGTATATGTATGTGAAGCTTTACTAGGTCATGCCTTACTATTTTCCAGAATAGTTGTATCTATTGACATGCTTACGTAGGTGCAACAGCAGTGTATGCAGCAATTTACAACCATGCATCAGTATTATAAGAGAGTTCTTGGTGCTTAACAACATAACTTATAATTAGGATTGTCAGACTTAAATTTTTACTAATATGACGTGTGCATAGAAGTACCTGATTGAATTTACCTGACAACTAATGTGGTTGAACATCTTTTTATATATTTTTAAGCCATTTGCATCTCCTCTTTGGTCAAATTCCTATTAGAGTTTGTGGTAGTGTTATGGATTGAATTTTCTCCCCCCAAAAATGTGTGTCAACTTGGCTAGGCTATGATTCCCAGTATTTTGTGATAGTCCACCGTTTTGTATCTGATATGATTTTCCTATGTGTTCTAAATCCTACCTTTATGATGTTAATGATGTGGGATTAGTGGCTGTTATGTTAATGAGCAGGACTCATTCTATAAGATTAGATTGCATCTTACATCAATCTCTTTTTAGATATAAAAGAGAGAAGAAAGAAGAGAGACAGGGAGACCTCATACCACTGGCAAACAAGAGCCAGGAGAATAGCATATCCTTGGGACCCAGGGTCTAGCTGAGAAGCTTCTGGACCAGGGAAGATTGATGACTAGAATCTGTCCCTAGAGCCAACAGAGAGAGACAGAGTTCCCCTGGAGCCGGCACCCTGAATTCAGACTTCTAGCCTCCTAGACTGTGAAAGGATAAATTTCTCTTTGTTAAGGCCATGTGTTTGGGATATTTCTGTTATAGCAGCACTAGATAACTAAGACAGACAGGTATCAAATATTGATTCTCAGTTACGAATTCATTCTTCATTACATGTTCTGTGATAATGGGCTGAGTTCTTTCAGCATCCCTTCTTCACAATAAGCACAGTGTTAAGTTTTCTCATTGGAAGGTGTTGGAAGGACACTGGGGGAGGTGTTTTTGACTGTTCGTGATTCTGTTGTTACTCATGTTGTTTGTGTTCATACAGTCTCGTGTTATGGATTCTGAGAAATCTCTGACATCCTGATGATATTGGTCCTTTAAAAGTTAATTCTGGGATTTCCTGAGACTTTAGAATAGATGTACCCTTCTCAAGAGAAGTTTTATACTTATTTATGCCAGGTGATTGGGGATTTTACCTGTTGGATCAGCTAAACCAAGCTCAAAGTTGTAAAGTTCCAAACCCACTTAGGCCATGTATGTGCTAGGTGAGAATCCATGCAAGGATTGATCTGCAGTCACAGCTTCCTATTGAAGATTTCTTTTTCACTCTATCAAATAAAATTACATCCAGACTTTGATGGGGAAAAGCTTTTTTTCTGAAAGAAAAGAGGGAATGGAAAGGGACTATTGTAGTGGTGGGGGACTACTACAATAGGCAGAACTCTCTAACCCGAAGATCTGCACATGTCTCAAAGAGTTAGGGAAAAGGTGTTTTCTTTTATAGACACTGAGAGTAAATAATATAAAAAATCCAGGTGTGGGGAAGTGAAATGAACAGGTGACATCTTTGGATAGTAATTCAGAATGTTTTAGGCTGTTGTCAACCTGTTCCTGGAGTTGGTGTTGTTAGTTGCCATTGAGTCAGGTTTCGACTCATGGTGACTTTATGTATAATAGAACGAAACATCACCTGGTCCTGTGCTATCCTCACAATTGTTGGTATGATTGAGCCCATTGTTAAAGCTATTATTTCAACCCATCTCACAGAGGTTTTCCTCATTTTCCCTGACCTTCTATTTTACCAAACATAGTATCCTTTTCTACAAAATGGTCTTTCTTTATGATGTGTCCAAAACAAGCAAGGTAAAGTCTTTCTATCCTAGTTTTTAAGAGGCAATCAGTAGTTTCTCTGGGACTGATTTACTCATTCATCTGGCAGTCTGTGGTATATTCAATATTCTTTGCTAACACCACAATTCAAATTCATTAATTCCTCTTTTGTCATGGATTGAATTATGCCCCCCCAAAAATGTGTGTATCAATCTGGATGGGCCATAATTCCTGGTATTGGGTGATTTGCCTATATGTTGTGAATCCTGCCTCTATGATGTTAATGAGGGAGGATGGGTGGCAGTTGTGTTAGTAAGGCAGGGCTCAAGCTACAAGATTGGATTGTGTCCTGAGGCACTCTCTTGAGATATAAAAGAGAGAAGTGAGCAGAGAGACAGGGGGACCTCATAACACCAAGAAAGTACTGCCAGGAGCAGAGCAAGTCCTTTGGACCCAGGGTCCCTGTGCAGAGAAGCTCCTAGCCTGGGGGAACATTGATGAGAAGGCTGACAGAGAGAGAAAGCCTTCCTCTGGAGCTGATGCCCTGAATTTGGACCTTTAGCCTACTCCACTGTGAAGAAATAAAGCCATCCACTTGTGGTATTTCTGTTATAGCAGCACTAGATGACTAAGATGTCTTTGATCTTCCTTTTTCATACTGCAGCTTTCACATGCATTTGAGGCAATTGAAAAGATCGTAGTTTTGGTCAGGCCACCATCAAAGTGATATATTTGCTATTTAGAACTTTAAAGAGGTCTTTTGCCACAGATTTTCTCACTGCAATATGTTATTTGATTTCTTGACTGCTCCTTGTATGTGCATTAGTTGTGGAAACAAGTAGAATAAAATCCTTGGCAACTTCAATTTCTTTGCAGTTTATCATGATGTTATTTATTGCACCAGATATGAGGATTTTTGTTTTCTTTATATTCAGATGTAGTCTATTTTGAAGGCTATACAGCTGTCAAATCTCCAGGGTGGTATATTGGTTGAGGCTGAGGGTGACCAAAGTTCAGGGACTTTGTGAAGGAGAGAAGTTTAACCAAAGTTTGGTTAACAATTACTTTGTTCTGATTGATTATCAGGGACGAGGAATTTAATTACTCATTTATAAGGCAAGGAAAGCAAATTGAAGGTCCCTGGTCTTTTCATAGGTAAGCTAGGGGGCTTCTGCAAGTCTTGTCTAACTCCTATGGGAAGGGTGGATATTGTCAGTGAGCTGTTTTTCCTGAACACAAAGGGTGGGGAGATTTCTTTAAACATGCGATCTTCCAGTATCACAGTGTTCAGGTAAAACTTAAAATTAACACTCTCTTCCTTTCTCTTTTTCTCTCCAGTTCTGCAACCAACATAGGCAGATCTCCTTGCAGCTCCTAGAAGCTGAGGGAAGAAGAAGGTTCAGTCAAGATCTGGTTTGTTCTTATCCTGATGCTGGAGACTCCAGAAGTCCAAGTTAATGCAGGATGATGTCTCTCAGAACTTCCCACATGGATGGGCTCTGGCTACAACTTTTGCTTCTTTGGCTTTTGCGTGGCTCTGGGTGCCAAGCTGATGTATTTGCCGAATCTAGTTGTGTTCAGGACTACGAGCTTCATTACTAAAATATTTCTTGGTTACAAGAATCCAAAACTCTATACCTCCTGTCTTTTCAGGTTTTGAAATTTATAAGGAGACCAGTATTTACATATATATGTATATATATCCTTATATACGTAGAATTATATATATATATATACATATATATATATATACACATACATACATATTTTTTTTTCAATGTAAAACAGAGTCTCTTTTTTAGATTGGTTTGTTTGTTGTAGCTTGTGTGGGAGAATGATATTGATTTTTAAAATAAATTTTATATTTCAATGAGTTTTTGGTCTCTTATTGGAAATTTCAGTTTCTAAATCAAGTTCTGCATCTTTAATAGTCAAACTGTCACTTTTTTGTAATAATATTTTTAGCTCTTTCTTTATGTACCTCCACAACTCACTGCCAATGCGATTTGCGTCCATAACCCCTGTCTCCTTTGCAAGGGCCCCTCTGGGGCCCTGTCCCCTCAGTGTGAAGGAGCTGCGTCATGCAGGGCAACTGCACAACGATGATGGCACAGACCCAGCTCCTCATGGTGTTGCTGCTCTGGGTCTCAAGTGAGAGACTGAAAAGCACTTCTGTGCATCCAGATTAATATCTTCGTTACATCATGAAAAATGAATTTAGATGCAGAGTGAAATAAGTTATTACCTAAACAGACTCTGTTACACATGTAATGCTGTAGAAAACCACATTATGAACAATATGCTCTTAAATGTGTTGACCTAATGTATGTGTGTATGGTAATTGTCCACTCTGATTGCAGCTGCCAGTGGAGACATTGTGATGCCACAGTCTGCAGTTCTCTGGCTGCGTCTCCAGGAGAAACAGTCACCATCAACTGCAAGTCCAGAGTGTGAGCAGCTTTATAGACTGGTACCAGCAGAAATCAGGACAGGCTCCTAAGCTTCTTACTCAACATCCACCCAGGCATCTGGGGCTCACATCTGGTGCCGAGGCAGTGGGTCTGGCACAGATTTCACCATCAACACCTTCCAGTCTAAAGATGTGGCAGATTATTATTGTCAGCAACATTATGGCTTTCCTCTCACAGTGCTTTAATGTGAACACAAACCTCCTCCCCAGGCTGTGGGTCAGTGAGTCTCTGTAGGAGTAGCTGCTTCCTCCCACAGACCCTGGGCTTGCACACTTCCTGCAACAACGGAGAGGCTGTATCTCCTGACTAATGTGCTGGAAGGTTTGCAAAGGTCAGGAGACAATGCAGTAGTTCACTGTCTCATTCATTCCCTGTAGAAGTCCTGGTGGCACAGTGGTTAAAATGCTCAGTTGCTAAATAAAGTTTTTCATTTTGAATCCACCAGCCACTCAGCAAGAGAAAAATGTGGCAGTCTGCTTCCGTAAAGATTACAGCCTTGAAAACCCTATGGGGCAGTTCTACTCTGCCCTAGGGTCACTATGAGTTGGAATTGACTCAACTGCAAAGGGTTTGGTTTTTGGTTTTGGCTCCCTGTTGTGGAAAGTCCCTGTAGGAACATGCATTCTATTGCTGCTATAAAAAATTGCCACAGATTTAGTGGTTTAAAACAAACAAACAAAAATTATCATTTTACAGAAGTTCTGAATGAGTCTCATGGTCTAAAATCAAGCTGGTGGCAGGTTTCTATTCTCTTTGGCGAAATTAGAAGAAAATCTAATTCCTTGCTTTTTTTGGTTCTTAGTAGCCTCCTGCATTTCTTGGCTCATGGCCTCCTACCTCCATCTTCAAAGTCAGTGACTTTGCATCTCTCTAACCCTTCTTTAGCTTTCACATCTCCCTCTGACCATAGTCGAGAAGGGATCTTTGCTTTTAAGGATTCATGCAATTAAAACAGGTCCACCCTGATAATCCAGGATAATCTCTGCATCTCAAAATCTGTACCCTCAATCACAACTTTAAGTTCCCTTTCCTATGTAGGATAAGATATTCACAGGTTCCAGGAGTTAGGGCATGAACATCTTTGGGAACCACTGTTCTGCCCAGTACACCCTCCTGTGGAGCCTTCTCTTATGTTGTCAGAACACTCTCAGCATGTCCCATATCACTAGATGCACAGGATTGATCCAAGCAGGCTCCAGCTCTACTCACTGTTGGATAATAATATCCACTGAGATTTTATACCCTGAAGGATCAAACCTTTCATTTGTTGCCTCCATTTCTTTATCTGATCTTCTCTTGAATACTCTACTATTTTGCCTTTTTACCCGCAGTGCAGTGAAAGTCAGCCACGGACCCTTAATTTCCAAGTCAAATAGATATTTTAAAATTCATAGCTGTATTTTCATTACTTTTATATTTGGATAAAAATAATACTGATTAATATTTGTGATATACCTTGTATATCTCCTTTAATTCTCATGAGTACTATATGAACTAGGTTTTCTTGTTCTCCCTGATGTCGCTGGGGTGCTTGTGTGGAGCAGCGGTGGTCTCTATGTCTTGCATTCACATTCATGCAGCACATTCATTAACATTGATGAACTAATAACGATACACTATTATTAACTAAAGTGCATAGTTTACATTAGGTGTGCTCTTTGTGTTGTACAGTCCTGTGGGTTTTGACAAATGCATAATGTCATCTCTCGACCATTATATCACTGCCTGAAAATGTCCTGTGCTCCACAAATTCATCTCTCTCTTCCTCCTGAACTCCTTGCAACCACTTATCTTTATACTGTCTGTATAGTTTTGCTCCAGATCTTTTATTTTCTAATAAAGTGTTATTATTAATAGTTGCATTAAAATGACTAGGATGATTTTAAGACCTCTCTCCCTCACTCCCCTTGGCTTCTGCCATGGTCTTAGCTGATGAGATCAATGTGTCTTGAACAGAGTTCTCACTTTAACATGAGGTTAAATCTTAGACTAGAAGTAATTCATCTCACCTTTCCTGGTCTTTTTCTTTCCACCTTGGGATCTTGATCCCTTAGGTATCAATATTTTGATAATTTTTGATCAACTTCCCTTAGTCGCATATGGTGATGGGTGAAATATTCTTTGCTTCTGTTCTCCCCAGTCATTTGGTGAGCCAGCCAGCTGTGCCTTGGCCTGCAGTATGTCCGAAGTTGCCATGCTGCCACTCAGTGGAGGGAGTGGAACATGTTGGAAATGATAGGTTAGTTATGAGGAAAATATGTGAGGGAAGTGGAGACTCTCTAGTCCTACTATAGAAGTAGTGGAGAACAGTCTGAAATTTCTTACTATAGTGTTTTTTTCACTTAATGTATGATTTAATCTTGTGACTCTTTTATTGCTTGGTAACAGTTTTTTTTATTTCGTGGTAAACCTTTTGGGCAGCAATGAGATAAAAAATAAAGGTGCGCATTTTACCCAAAATTAACTATTGAAATTTTGTTTTTCAGACAGAAGATAATGAATGTGTAAACTGCACAAAATATTTGTTGACATTTACCATACACCATGGGATTGACCACATGAAAACTAGAAGAAACGAATTCGTTAAAGGATCCTGTTGTTAGTTGCCATCAAGTTGATTCTGACTCATGGGGACACCATGTGTACAGAATAGAGCTGCATTCTATAGCGTTTTCAAGGCTGTGACCTGTCAGAAGCAGATCTTCAGACGTTAGTCCCAAGGTGCCTCTGGGTGGGTTTGAACCACCAACATTTTAGTAGTTCAGAACTTAGCCATTTGTATCACCCACATACTCTTTGTTAAAGAATATTAGGAACCATTTCAAATGCAAGGGTTTATTTTCAGAGCACTGGGCCAATAACATTTCCCATGTGTAGCTGCTGAAGGTATCACCCTGAAGCAGTTTTCATTTAGATAAAATGATGGTTCTTCCAAATTAATTTTACTCATCTTTGATTTCATGTTTTCCTGTACAGGTATGGAAAGTAGAGCAATAGCTTTCATTAGCAGAAGAATAAATTTGTAAACAGTTCACAGATGTTCGTTTGATATCAATAACCTCAGGTGCTTCAAATAGGCAAAAATCAATTAATTCCAATAATGTTAACCAGGAGCTAAGTGAGAAAATAAATTCTTCTGTCTGGATTTCTGATCTTCCTTTGAATGTGTGGCTTTGAGTCAGAATTGATTCTGGCAATGAGTTTGGTTGGAATTTATATCTGCATTAGCTTTCTATTGTTTAACAAATTGTCACATGCTTAGAAGCTTATTAGCTCACAGTTCTGTAGATCTGAGATATAAATTTGTGCACTATATCTTCATTTTCTCCAATGACATAAATATATTCCGTGCTGTTATTTGTTGTTGTCAGATGACTTTGAGTTGATTATGACTCATAGTGACCTTATAGGACAGAGTATAACTGTCCCATAGGGTTTCCAAGGCTGCAACCTTTACAGGAGTAGATCAACAGGTCTTTTCCCACATGGAGCTGCTGGTGGGTTCTGGTATCATATTTACTATTCAATTAAGTTCTGAAATTGTATATTAACAAACACATATATTCTATTACAAAATTAATTTGTTTTCAATTTGATTGCATCTGGTTTGAAAGAAGAGAGTTGATACTAAGAATATTTTACATTTGGAAATTTTGCCAAATTTTCTTAAAAATTATAAACTTAAGCAGATTTCTGGGCCCTTTGCGGACAGACAATCACATTTCCTGTGGTAATGATGTTTTCGTCTCCTTCTTTCCATTATTTGTCTTCACAACTCCCTGCTCAGACACTTTTGCTTTCATACCCTCTGGTGCTTTGCATAGGCTCCTCAGGTACTAGGCTGGCTACTCAGAGCTCTATTAATGGTGCTTCCCTGGCTGTGGGGCCTGAGCCCATCAGATAGAAGATAGGCAGCAAGATGGTGTCACTCCCCT